TTTTAGCTTCAAATATATATAAATTTTATTTAGTTGGTGTCGTTTAGTTTTTGCATAATATGTATTTAAAAAATTCCGGTTTTTTTTGTCCCACACTGTATCTATAAAGTGAGTTTTTAATTTTTTTCATTATATTATAAACTTTAACAACTTTTTTATTAATAATTTTAAATTTCTTGCTATGCAGCTAAATTTAAAATATAAGCAGATCATCTGTAATATTGAAAAGTCTGATTATTAAGTTTTGATATGAGTTCTTCTGCAATTATTCTTTCACAAACTATCATAACTGATTCATTATTAGTAGTTAAAGTTAAGATTTTTTCAAGCAAGTTAAATTCTGTTAAAATTGATTTTATTGTACTTGCTATATTAACTCTAGTGTAATGAATAGTAAAAGAAATAATATCTAATAAAAAATTACATAACTTTCACTCATTATCAACATAATGGATTGTTAAACCCAGATATACATTATTATTAAATGTTGATGTCTATATATCTGCTATTAAAGATAATTTGCCTGAAATAGTAGTTAAGTCATATTGTATTTTTATACGCCTTTTTCAAAATAATTCATTACTAAAGTTTTTAACATTTTTTATCTGAAAGTTAATACTAAAAATCAAGTACATTAACTATTTTTATGAACTGTAATTATTCAACTATTCGAAATAATTGTGTATCTCTAATTATCTACATTTTTAATGTTTTTAATTTTAATTTTATGTATAGAATCTAAATGTCATTTTAGAGTTGTAATTCCCGTTTTTTTTTCAAAAACTTGTTAAAATATAATACAAATTGGATGGCCTGGATTTTGATGAGTTTTTTTATTAAAATATTTTCATGTTAGTGAAGCCTGACAAGTTTGATCATTATCATAATCATTATCACTACTATTTTCATTTTCTTGATCTTGATCTTGATCTTGATCTTCATTTTGGTCTTATTCTTATTCAAAATTACTATTAATTCAAAATCATCATTCAAATCATTAAAATCATAGTTTGAAAATTTAAACATTTTATTATAGTTTAAAAAAAAAAAAGTTTATTAGGAAAATATAATAAAAAGGAAAAATTAATTGTAAAAAGAAAAAATTGAGATAATGGAACGTGGAAAAATTAATGGAACGCGTTTAATTCGTGACTGATCTGCAACTAAATTTAAAAAAACTTTTTATTTATATTAATATACTATAAAGACCGGGTCCTAAGTCCGTCCTAAAATTAGGACCTGGTCTTATAAAGACCGATTTTAAAGACTCAGTCTTAAGGTTCCGGACTTGAATTTTCCCCACCCTAATTCGGGGGATCCCAAAGGGACCACCTCTTCCCAGAGAGGACCGGTTCAAAGACACTCGTAGCTTCTCTGGATTCTGCCACTCCCTTGAACGAAAAAATGGACAGAAATGTTCTCCTGTAGCAAACGAGAAGGGTCGATCAATAAGAAAATTCCCCCTATAAACAGAAAGTAGAACAAGATTTGAGACATGAGTTATCTGCTTACTTGGAAGGTAAGGGATCAGCTTCACAGCGTGAACCCAGTTAAATCACTTGATATACAGATTCCCGAATTCTCCTTGGATGCGATTCTAACAGGGTCTAGTAAAGTTACGGCACAAAATAAGCACGGATCAAATCTATTCCCCTAACATTCGTCTTAAATCTAACTAAGGATGAAACCGATTATGTAATTGCCGAAACCTTTAAAGCAGAAAGTTCGATAATGTACTGCGCCATATGATTAATCCATTCTGGGCAATTTTAACGAGCCAACCATCAGAAAAAAAAAATTACATGTGATTTGCCCAATAGGGCTATGCGAATACTAAATGGCCGGTTATAATAGGTAAATTATATTAACTATATATTCGATGCCTATTTTTACCAAAGTCAGGTGATGACTAATCTCTGTGTAACCTCCGTCTTATATGAAATTCAGTAAAAAAATATGAAAAAAGCATTTCCATTAAAGTTACATATTTAGTTATGATAATTGATTCTTAAATCAGTTTCTCATTTGAATGCTTAAGATGCGGATAGAGTTTGGAAACTCATTTAATGCAAGCCGTAATTTTGGCTGAAAAACTTTATCTAATCAAGCGCGCCTATTTGAATAATAATGCTTAGAAAAAAAAAATAACACCAATTGTTCGCCATTTTGACATTTTTATAAAATATTTTAGATTATCTCCATTATCCTATTATCAGCTGAACAATATATCAAAGATTAGATGGAAATTTTAATCAAATTAAGGAAGAGGACGATAAATTAATCTTGTGACTCTTTCGTTTGCTTCTTTTGTTTGTAAAAATCGTACAGATTAAAAATGGCGTAAATTTATTATTTGTATAAATATAGTTCGTTGCTTGGGGTGTAGAATGCCAAAAATTTAAAACGTAATAAAATGTACGTGATTATTTTCTTATAAATTTATTTTTATTAATTATTATATTAATTAATTATCAATATTTTTTTAGTTTTTTATCATGGTACCAAAATATTTTTTTATTGCTCTTTTTATTGTAATTGGCTCTACTTTAGTTGCTTCTCAGAAGTGTCCCAAAGATAATACCAATTCTAGCAATAGTTGTTCAAGAAGAGTGAGTGGTGGTGAATATGTTTGTAAGTATCTTTATTTAGAATTTTTTTTTAAACTTATCGTTATTTTATTTATTAAAAGAACTTTTAATAAATTAGGTAATGGTCAACCATGTGTTTTTTGCACGAGCTGTAAATGCTTGAGTTATTGCTGGAAAAATGAAGGTGATTGGAGGCGCAATTATAATTGTGTTTGCACATCATAATCGAATCTTTATGCGCGCGCAAACATTTGTAACGCTATATCGTTGTACGCGAAATACTATGTTAGAATTGCTGCGCCACTTGGATCATGTCACACTATTTTTATTATATTTATATTATATATAGTATTCATGTTTGTATTTTATAACTTTAAAGTCAGTGGTGTCTCTTGTTAAATAAATACTGTCTTTTCTATAAAATTATCTCTTAACCGTCAATTTTAGTGGACAAATCTTTTTAAATTGTCATTTTAGATATTATTATTGACTTAATTAAATTTTTTGTATGGCACATTTTTCAAACTTTATTTATAAAATATATAAAGAATGAGATAATCAAACATTTATATTAAAATATAAATTAATTCAACCTTAATTATAATTAAGGATGGCAACGGTTAGTCATCGGTCAGTAATGTTCGGTCACGCAAACTTATCAATTTCGTCCTAGAAATTATTAGTTAAATGTCGGCTAAATAGCTAGTCAAATGGTCGGTTAAACACCTTGATCGACCGATCATAATACATTATTAGCTGGTGAATTACAGTTTAAAGGAAAAAATTATTGATAACAGATTTCAAATTAAATTTGATAATTCATTTTGATATATTGAAAATTACATAAAATTAAAGCTCCGAAGGTTCGGTTCGGTTCGGTTCGGATTATTACAGCTGTTTTCATATTTTTCGGGACAGACAAATTTTGAACCCGACATCCGATCCAATATGCGGATATCACTTGTTTCTGGATTTTGTACTAAAAATAAACAAACTAAATAAACTATAACCGATAAACAAATACCGGACACTATTGT